GGAGCGTGTTAGCGTGTAATCTGTTTCAAAAAAAAAAATTAAAGATGACTGCATAAGGTAATACTAACATTGTAAACAAAAAAAAAAAAAGTAGTACGCGCTATCATCATCATCATTTCAAAACAATTAGCGTGTTTTCGCTTGCAATGCTCTATCAAATGTAACAATTCAAATTATTACCATAATTAGTCAACTCTTTTCTATTATTCAAGATGAAAGTAAGTATTTTATATATATTCGAGTCATTAGAATTAAAAAAAAAAGAAAAACAATGATGATGATAATAATAATATGAATAAAACTAATAAAAGAAATAATTTATTTAATATTAATGTAAACTTTTTATTAAATTAAAGTATAACTTGATACTTTTCTTTATATAATGTCAATTAGAAATATCAATGACTATTTTTAATTGGATGATATGACAGTAACATGAATTAAGGTTACATCTACAGTAACCCCCTTCTTTTTTTTTATTAGTAAGGTAGAATGTTTTATGTAATATAAAAAAAAAAGAAAAGATTTGATGATGATGGTTGACGTGTTATGGGTTATTGTATCATCGCGTAAAAAAATAATATTAAAAAAAAAATATTTTTTATTGTTTACATTTGGAGCGTGTTTTATTGTTTACCTTTGGAGCGTTTTTTTTTTGTTTACCTCTGGAGCGTTTTTTTTTGTTTACCTTTGGAGCGTTTTCTTTTGTTTACCTCTGGAGCGTGTTTTTTTTTTCTTCTTCTTTTTCTTCTTCTTTTTCTTTTTCTTTTTTTCTTATTTACCATTGTAGCGTGTTTTTTTTTTCTTTATCTTTTTTTTTTTTTTGTTTATCACTGTAGCGTGTTTTTTTTTCTCTATCTTTTTTTTTTTTTTTGTTAATACTTTTCCCAAGGATACTGATCCACCACATTACAACATTAGTAAAAACAATCTTGGAATAGAATGGATAGAAATAGTTATATAGTACTGTGTTAGGTTACAGAATAAAATATGAGACATACCTTTTATTCTTTTTATTATCCTATTTTTCTATATATGTATTATGATTAGAATCTTGATACTGCTTGTGTATGATGGATGGCATAAAAAAGTCTTTTTTTTTTCTTTTTCCTTTTTTGCAGTAGAGAGATAAGCAAGTCGCATGATCATTTACTGTCATCTTCCTCCTTTTTAAGAAACCATGATCATCGGAATCGGCCCGATCTCCATCTATCCAACAAACTGGATTTTTATTTTTAGGTACATACTCTAAAAATTACCATTTCTAGTAAATAATAAAAATGAATAGAAAAAAACATCATCCATCTTTATCTTTCCGAGTCACCCATAAAAAACAATGTTATATGCTTGTTGTATGATCTTTCTTTATATTCAAATAAAAAAAATAAAGAAAATATACATTATTGCATTAAAAAGAAAAAAAAACTTCAACTCATAGTAAAAGGTCTATAGGACATTTACTTTTGTTTTTCCACTCAAAGTCAACACATGTGAAAAATCAATTGATTATCGATGATGACGATGATGATGATTATTATTGATGATAAATCCATTATGAATACTTTTCTATTTGATCGATTTTATATAGTATATTGTTAATATGAGCATTAAAAAGAATAACCTTAAATGGCAATATGACGTAAAGTGACACGTTGTTCAGACGATGACTCCGATTCTGATGCATGATTTTAAGAGTAAAAAAAAAAAAAAAAAAAAGGCACACGGTCTGAGAAAAAAAAAGTCGCGTTTTAGCCCCTTTTTTATTTTCTTTCTTTTTTTTTTTTTACTTCACTTATTTCACATATGACAAAGAAAAAGTCGCGTTTTAGCCCCTTTTTTATTTTCTTTCTTTTTTTTTTTTACTTCACTTATTTCACATATGACAAAGAAAAAGTCACGCTTAGCCCCTTTGTTTAATAGGCATGATGTTGTTATTTATTTAATATTGTTTAATGATGGGTTGATATTGTTGATGTTATGAAGTATATATAATTGATTTTATTTTAATGATTGTTATTTGGATTGGAGAGGGGGTATAGAATGATTGATATTGAATTGATAGATGTATAAAAGAGTTGTTAGTTGATGATTGAAGAAAAAAAAGGGCATGGATGGGGGGGATATGAACAAGTTATTTTGAGAGATGTGAGCAAAAAAAAAAAGGGGGGGGGGATGAACTGGGTGGCCATTTTTTTATATTCTACCTTTCTTTTTCCTTTTTTTTTATTATCTTATTGAATATATATTTATTTTATTATTTTATATCTTCATTTTATTTTATTTTATTTTATATATTGTATTGCTTTAGTTTTATTCATTAGCAACAATGTCAATACAGTAAGTAGTAGTGATGACAAAAAAAAAAAAAAAAAAGTCATGTCATCTCATATGACAGTAGGTAATGATTGATTGACATTTCTTTTTTTATTTAAGTTAAATAATATGAGCAAGTATTTATTTTATTTTATTTATTTTATGTTATAGGAATTAGTTTATGTGTTAAAAGTGGCGTTTACGTTTTTTTTTTTGTTTTATTGATGTTGGTAATGAGAAAGGGGATGTGGTGACTGGAAGGTGATGGACTTGACTTTTTTTTTTTTATATAAAGTGAAAGAATATGACTAACTATTTACTTTATTTTATTTTATTTATATTGTAGAGACTATTCTATGTGTTAAAAGTGGTGGTTACCTTTTTTTGTTTTATTCATGTTGGTGATGGTAAAGAGATCTTATGTTGGCTTTAAGGTGACGGAGTTTACTTTTTTTTTTTTTTTTATAAGTAAAGGAATATTATTAACCTTTTTCTTTTTCTTTTTTATTATTATTATTATTATTATTATTATTATTATTATTTATATTATAGCAACTATTCTATCTGTTAAACATGGTGGTTACCTCTTTTTGTTTTATTCATGTTGATGATGACAAGGGGATCTATGATGACCAAAAGGTAATGGAGTTAACTTTTTTTTTATATAAAGTAAAAGAATACTACTAACTGTTTACTTTTTTTATTTTATTTATATTGTAATAACTAGTTTATGTGTTAAAAGTGGTGTTTAACTCTTTTTGTTTTATTCATGTTGGTGATGTCAAAGAGATCTTGTGGTGACCTTAAGGTAACGGAGTTACTTTTTTTTTTTTTTTTTTTTTTATAAAGTAAAAGAATACTACTAACCTTTTTCTTTTTCTTTTTCTTTTTTATTTTATTTATATTATAGCAACTACTTTACGCGTTAAAAGTGGTGCTTACCTTCTTTTGTTTTATTCATGTTGGTCATGTCAAAGAGATCTCAAGTTGACCTTAAGGTAACGGACTTGCTTTTTTTTTATATAAAGTAAAAGAATATGACTAACTATTTACTTTTTTTTTTTTTTTTTTTATTTTACTTACACTGTAGTAACTATTCTATCTATTAAACGTGGTGTTTACCTCCTTTTGTTTTATTCATGTTGGTGATGGTAAAGGAATGTCGTGACTGGAAGGTAATGGAGTTAGCTTTTTTTTTTTATATAAAGTAAAAGAATACTAATAGCTATTTACTTTTTTTATGTTATTATGCTATTTAGGTACTATAGCAACTAGTCTATCTGTTTGAACTTGGCGTTTCCTTTACTTTTTATTCAAGATGGCAACAACAATCTAATGAGGACCTTAAGGTAATGTCGTTACCTCTTTTTGTTTTTTATCAAGTTAAAGAATGCTAACTAACTATTTACTTTTTTTTTTTTATTTTATTTAGATACTATAACAACTAGTCTATCTATAGAACTCTATACTTTCTTTTGGTTAGAACAAATTAGAACAAACAATGTCAAGATGAACTTTTGGTAATGATGATTCTTTTTATATACATATACAGTATACATATGTAAAGTGAAAAGGAAGTAACTGATTTTTTTATTTTTTATTTTTTTTTTTTTATAATGAATAGGATGATGATACGTATATTGACAGGATGGATTATACTATGATATATTTTGTTTTAGATAGAACCTTTTTTTTTTTTTTTTTTTTTTTAATAAAGTGAATATAATTCTCTTTTTTTTTTTTTTTTTTTTTTTTTTTTTTTTTTTAATGGATGAACGGGTGGACAGGATAGAATAAAAAAGAATGGATGAAACGATAGACAGGATAGAAGAAAAAAAGAAGTAAACAACCTTTCAGATGGTACACAAAAGTGAAAAAAAGAAAAAAGTAAAACAACGTTGCATATGGTATACAAGAAAAAAAAAATGATGCATTAATTAGATATACATCCCCTTTTGGTATCCCACAAAAGTAACATCAACGAAAAAAAAAAAAAAAAAAAAGATGATGCATTAATTAGATATACATCTCCTTTTGGTATCCCATAGAAGTAACATCAACAAAAAAAAAAAAAAAACGGCCCCCCAAACAAAGAAGAAATAAACAACCTTTCCGAATGGTACACAGAAGAAATAAACAATCTTTTAGATGATACATACAGAGATAAACAACCTTTCCGAATGGTACACAGAAGAAAAAAAAAAAAAAAAGAAGAAATAAACAATCTTTTAGATGATGTATACAGAGATAAACAACCTTTCCGATGGCGTACATACGCGAAAATAGCTATGAGAAAAAAAAAAAAAAACGAGATCTGGGCCCCAATTCTCCTTTTTTTTTTTTCCTTTTTTTTTTTTTTTATTTCTCTTTCCTTATCCTTTTTTTTTCTTTACTACTATTAATGTTAATACGACTTTTGGTAATGAACGATACAACTGACTCTTTTTTTTTATTTATATACACTGACATTCACCTTTTTACTTTTATTCATTAGCAACAATGTAACGACTAGTAGTAACGACAAAATAATCTCTTGACATGACATAACGTAAGGAACTATTGAAATATCCTTTTTTTTTTATTTTATAAAGTGAAATAATACTATTAACCTTTTTTTTTTATTTTATTTATATTATAGCAACTAGTTTATGTGTTAAAAGTGGTGTTTAGCTCTTTTTGTTTTATTCATGTTGGCAATGGTAAAGGGATCTCGTGGTGACCTTAAGGTAACGGAGTTACTTTTCCTATTTTTTTTTTTTTTTTTTTTTTTATAAAGTAAAAGAATATTATTAACCTTTTTCTTTTTCTTTTTCTTTTTTTTTATTTTATTTATATTGTAGAGGCTATTTTATGTGTTAAACTTGGTGGTTACCTCCTTTTGTTTTATTCATGTTGCTGATGGCAAAGAGATCTATGATGACCTTAAGGTAATGGAGTTAACTTTTTTTTATATAAAGTAAAAGAATACTACTAACTACCTACTTTTTTTATTTTATTTATATTGTAGCAACTAGTTTATGTGTTAAAAGTGGTGTTTACCTCCTTTTGTTTTATTCATGTTGACGATGGCAAAGAGATCTTATGCTGACCTTAAGGTAACGGAGTTACTTTTTTTTTTTTTTTTTTTTTTATAAAGTACAAGAATATTACTAACCTTTTTCTTCTTCTTTTTTTTTTTTATTTATATGGTAGAGACTAGTTTATGTGTTAAACTTGGTGGTTACCTCTTTTTGTTTTATTCATGTTGGTGATGTCAACGGGATCTATGATGACCTTAAGGTAATGGACTTACTTTTTTTTATATAAAGTAAAAGAATACTACTAACTACCTACTTTTTTTATTTTATTTATATTATAGCAACTATTTTATGTGTTAAAAGTGGTGTTTATCTCTCTTTGTTTTATTCATGTTGGTCATGTCAAAGAGATCTCGTGGTGACCTTAAGGTAACGGAGTTAACTTTTTTTTTTTTTTTTTATAAAGTAAAAGAATATTACTAACCTTCTTTTCTTTTTTTTTTTTTTATTTTATTTATATTATAGCAACTATTCTACCTGTTAAACTTGGTGGTTACCTCTTTTTGTTTTATTCATGTTGGTGATGGTAAAGAGATCTCGTGGTGACCTTAAGGTAACGGACTTCCTTTTTTTTTTATAACGTAAAAGAATATTACTAAACTATTTCTTTTCTTCTTCTTTTTTATTTTATTTATATTATGGCAACTATTCTATCTGTTAAACTTGGTGCTGACCTCTTTTTGTTTTTATTCATGTTGCCAATGGTAAAGGGATCTCGTGGTGACCTTAAGGTAATGGACTTTACTTTTTTTTTATAAAGTAAAAGAATATAACTAACTACCTACTTTTTTTATTTTATTTATATTGTAGAAACTATTCGATGTGTTAAAAGTGGCGGTTACCTCTTTTTGTATTATTCATGTTGACGATGGCAAGGAGATCTCGTGTTGACCTTAAGGTACTGTAACGGAGTTACTTTTTTTTTTTTTTATAAAGTAAAACAATATTATTAACCTTTTTCTTTTCTTTTTCTTTTTATTATTATTATTTATATTATAGCAACTATTCTATCTGTTAAATATGGTGGCTACCTCTTTTTGTTTTATTCATGTTGGTGATGGCAAAGGAATCTCGTGTTGACCGTAAGGTAATGGACTTACTTTTTTTTTTATAAAGTCAAGGAATATTACTAAGTATTTACCTTTTTTATTTTATTTATGCTATAGCAACTGTTATATCTGTTAAACTTGGTAGTTACCTCTCTTTGTTTTATTCATGTTGGTCATGTCAAAGAGATCTCGTGGTGACCTTAAGGTAACGGAGCTACTTTTTTTTTTTTTTTTATAAAGTAAAAGAATACTACTAACCTTTTCTTTTCTTCTTTTTTTTTTTTTTTTATATTGTAGAGACTATTCTATATGATACAAGTGGTGTTTACCTTCTTTTGTTTTATTCATGTTGGCAATGGTAACGACATCTCGTAGTGACCTTAAGGTAACGGAGGTACTTTTCCTTTTTTTTTTTTTATAAAGCAAAAGAACACTACTAACCTTTTACTTTTTTTTTTTTTTTTGCTTTATTTATATAATAGCAACTACTTTATCTGTTAAACTTGGTGGTTACCTCTTTTTGTTTTTATTCATGTTGGTGATGTCAAGGGGATCTCGTGTTGACCTTAAGGTAACGGA